AGAGCGTGACTGGGCACTTGGGCCACAGACAGGGCTTGGAGACACGTGGGGGATGGGCGTGCAGGACCCGGGGACGGGAGCTCCTCGCGACTGCCTCGCTGGCAGGTGCTGCTGGCCCTGGACGTGGACGCTCAGTTTCTCAGCGAGAGAAGTATTTCCTTCCTGATGCTGTTTGAAGTATTCTAATTTTATCAAAAGAAATTCCCACTCTGGTGTGTGACCAGCCGTGGCCAGCTGACTCCAAGCAGAAATGTCATGGTGCAAGGGCCTGGTGAGGACCGGGCTCGGCTCACGGCAGCTAGGAAGTAGAGAGAGAGAGCACCTACAGGGGCTTGGCAGGCAGCAAGAGCGGCATGTGGCCCGACAGCCCGACGTGGACTCCAGCTGCGCTGTGCACAGCCAGGAGACCCCAGGAAAGCCGCTTCCTTCCCACTTCCAGAGCCCACACCCGCACGAGGCGGCCCCCTTCCTGCCTCCCTCCTGCCTTCAGAGAGCTGAGCAGAAAGGACGTTAAGCAACTTGTCATATTTTGCAAAAATCAATAGGCTAATTGCCACATCCAGTAGCTTTTCTGGAAAGCACGCACTGGAGCCCAGAGGCCCTCACACCGCGGATGCTAGCCAGTCACCGACAGCCCCACCATGACCCTGTGGGACCACCACCGCTCATGTGGCCATGGCCCGCTGCTTAAAGCCCTTAATCCTTGCACAGCCACTTCAGTAGCCCGCCCAGGGATGCCCGCTGCGCACCCATTCACAGCCAAATCCAGTCCTCTCCCACCTATGAGCCAGTTTCCTTCCCTCACACCCAGGTCCCGAGTGTCCCTATCTGCTTTGAAGGACAGAGATCCGAAACACCTTCCAGGGTGCAGCGCCCCAGCAGTACAGCGCCTTCCAGGAGCTGAAAGCCAACTCTGAGCTACACGTGTGCAGATGGGAGCCCTGGGCCATGCTGAGCAGAGAGGAGCAAAGCGGCCCTCATTGGTGCCCCTGGACTCGGCCCTGGGCTAGGAGCAGGCGAGAACCCGCTTCTCTGAAAAGCCCCCTTGACCACTCAAGTCCATTTGGCTGTGGCACCAATGGCAACTTTGATGTCCTCACCAATGTCCCAGCCGGGAAAGGATTAGAGCAGCTTCCGGAGGCTAAGCAAGATGCCTGGATGTGGTGGGGTGCTGTGTAGCTGGAGGGGGCCGAAGGCCAGGCTGGGGAGGAGGGAGTGGAAGGAGCCTCCTGCCTCTCAGTTGAGGAACCGAGGGCAAAGCCTGAAGGACAAGACACAGAGCTGGGCCTTCCTGGGTGTGCAGAGCGGAGAACTCGGCCTTTGGAGTTCTCATGTGTAGCGTCTCCCAACAGCACAAACAAGGGCCCCTGGGGCTCAGGAGGAGAGTCAGGCCCGGAGCCCGGTGGTCTGCTGCTCGTGCAGAGGGCTGGGCAGGCAGCTCCCTGGAGGGCACACGCTCTAGCCCCGGCGTGAGCCCTCAGCAGATCCTGGCTGCTGGGGACCAGCTCCTGGCCCTCACACCGAGGCGCACCGCTGAGGCGTAAGAGGGTTCTTCATCACGTGACACCACAAATCCAGGGCCCAACCACCAGTAGCAGAGGAGTGCGCCCATCTTCTCGCACTGGTGCCCGCTGTGGGTGCAGCTTTCTGCCGCGTTGAAGAGAAGGTGGAAACCCAGAGAATCTCCGGTGTTTAAAAAGTGGTTTTACTTCATACAGATTTGTTAAAGTACCATGGGCCAAGCCACGCCATCTGCAGGCTGGCTGAGCCCCACGGGGGACCAGGGGCTGTGTCCTGGTTGAGTAGATGCCAACGGCCCAAGGCACGGAGCTGAAGAGCCACGGCCCTTGCCACCCTGCGCTGTGTCCCAAGGGTGGCCGAAGGCGCCTGCGGCCTGGAAGAGAGCTCTGTGCCACCAGCGGAGGGCAGTGGGCTTGCTCAGCCTTTCCCGTTCTGACTATCAGGGTCAGTGGCAAGCACTTTGCCCCAGCTGTGAGGGGAGGGTGGTGACTAATCCACTGCCCCGTGCCTTGTGGTCAGGACCATCAAAGGCCATCCAGGAGTTTAGAGATAATTACGGGAAGTGCGTGGACTCATTATTTCTGAATAATACAGCGAGATTATTTCTCTCATTATCTTCCCTAATATGAGTAAGTAGAATAACATCTCTATTAGTAAAAGATAAGGAATAAAAAACCCTAAGATATCTTTAAACATGTTTAGACTGACAGTGTGAGATTTAAGGGAAGTAGTGAGAAGAGCGGACACAGAATCCCCGCACGCTTTTCCTGGTTCCTCAAAGGTCAGCAGTTTACCCTGTGTGCTTCTGAACGAGCTTCTCTTTCCTCCTCTCCTCCCCTCCCCTCCCTCCCCTCCCCTCCCCTCTCTCTCTCGCTCTCGCTCTCTCTCTCTCTCACTCTCTCTCTGTCTTCCCTGTTCTCCTGAGCTGTTTGAGACTAAGGAGCAGAAACGTCCCGTTAGCACTAAACACCTCGGAACCCATTTCCCAAACACACCGGCAGCCCTCCTATGGTCACAGTGTAGTCATCAAATGCGCACATTAACACCGACGACGCAATGCTGTTCGCTATCTTGGGGACCACCTGCAAACTTTGCCCTTGTCCTAGGAATGTCCTTCAGAGAAAGAAAAACTTTCTCGGGCACTTCCTCCTCAATGTTTATTCAACCTGCTGCTGGCAATGTTCAATCCGGCCCCTTGGTTGAAGCGGCACCGACCAGTTACCCAGGAAACCCCTGTTGTTTCTTCCTAATTCACTGAACAACTTAGGGTTATCGTGTTGGAGACGACTAGAGGTTCTGGGAGCTCCTGGAGTTGTCGCCAAGGAGTTCTAACAGCCATCGCCCTCCTTTGCTGCTGTGAACCTTGTCGTGAACACTTCGGGCCTGACCCTAAGGAGGTGCTCTCACTGTCAGCTCAGAGATTCTGGCCTCACCTGACAACTGAGAGACCCTGTACCCTCCTCACTCACTCCCATGCTCCCGTTATTGCTGCCTTGTTCAGAGGAAGCCCCTCCCCCCAACCGCAGCATGCCCCATCCTCCACATGACACCCCCAAGGGCCTGCCCTGCCTGCCTACCTGTACTAGTTCTACCTCACTTAACTATCTATACTCGCAGCACACCTTATGCTAGCACTTTCCTACTGTCTTAGTCCTGGGCTCATCTCTGGGACTCAGCTCAGACACCCACAACTTAAAACACTGAAGTTTACTCAGGCTCCTGTCTTCAGGCCAGGCCAGGAAGCAGGGGGAGGGGGAGAAGCTGGGATGGAGAGAAACCCTCCAAATAATGGTTTCAGGGACACCCCCTTACATCCCATTTAGCTATAGCAACCCATGACTCAGCCACTTCTCAAAAGCCTCCCCTGTGAGCACCTGAGGATTTGGAGAAGCTTGAGGTACAACCCGTGACACCTGTAGAGGGACATGTTAGCCTAATAGCAAAAGCTGCTTTCATCTTACCACGAAAAGCAGTGTTGTGATGAACGACTTGAAGGGGTGTATTCTTAAATTGCCATACTGACTCGTCAGGGTGGATTTGCAGAAGAGAGACCACTGAGGCACAGGAAAACGACATCATTAGAAGTGGCCAGATATCTCTCAGAAGAATCAAGCTGCTTTACTTCCTGAGAATCTATGAGCTATAGGTCTGCGTCTCTAGATTAATCAGTGTATGTGTCATGCTTCGTGATTTCTGCCAATCTGATAGCTACCAAATACTACTGGTAGCTTTAAGTTATATGTGTCTAATTGTGCGTGGGGTTGGATAGTTTTCCTGCCTATCAGGCCAATTTCAGTATGCTTTTTGGTGAGTTGTGTGTTTTGCTGTATTTTTCCTCAAGCAGCTAGATCTCCCTCCGCTAACGCTTTTTGTGCCTCTCCTGGAATGCAATCTATGCATGGCAGACATTTCCTCCCAGTATGTCACTTTCCTTTTGATTTGGTTCATGGTACTCTGGGTAAGGCAATATTTCTAAACTTACATAGGTGAATTTATTATTTAAAAAATTAATTTGAATTTTGGGTCAGATTAGGAAATGTTTCTAAACTTGGGTTATACAGGAATTCATTCATCTTTTCCTTATTCCTTAAAAATGATTTCATTTTCTTATATCTAACTCACTTATCCACTTGAAGTTCATTCTTATGTATGTCGGAAGATATGAATCTAATATCTTTCTCTTCAAATGGCTGCCCACTGAACCCAGCACCATTTATTTAAAAAGTCTCTGCTTGTACCAAGATTTGAGATGCCAACTTTATCGTGCAATGAGTTCACCTATGTTCTTGGATGCATCTGTGGAGTTCGTCCTGTTGGTCTCTCTCTTGAGTCATGTCCCAGGGCCAGTAAATGTGACTTAATCCCATGCAAATTGTACCTCATGGCAGCCCGTCGGCTTGCACTTAGGCTGACCTGTATCGAATTGCCATCATGCGCCCACTCTACAGAACCCAGTTTACGTATTTCCACCAGATATCTGCTCTGGGCACCATCCAGGACGATACTGGCCAGCTCCGGTGACATGGCTCTGGCCGGGTGGACTTCGCGGCTTGCTTCTTGCTATCTTCGTTGCCTTCTTGTCACGGAGACGCAACACCAGGCCTCTACAGCGCAAAGGAAAAGAGCTTGATTTGGTCCATAATGCGCAGAGGTTTAAATCCATAGTTTGAAGGCTCCTAGGCAGGCCAGCACTGAGAAACAGCTCCTGGCAGGGTTGCAGGCAGCAGCCGGAGACCAAGGGTGGAGGAGGGAGACAGGCCCTTCCCAGCCTCTCTCCACCGGGCTCCACTTCCCGTCTCCCATTTAGCCATAAGCTCATCAGTAGGATAAGCCCACACCCCAGAATCCGGTCTCCTCCCCAAGCCCCACGTCCTAGCTGGCGGATTTGGGGGCCTCCAGGTATAAACCTGCCTCTAGCTTACAGACCTGACCATCCCTGAAGTGCCTCACTCTGTCTTCTTTCTTCTTCTCTCCGTCAGTGATAGAGGGCCGCGGGGTTGCGGAAGGCACACAGCGATTCTCCTCGTCGCTGCCGCCCTACTTGCCGGTGAGCTACAGCATCCGGGGCACGGACAGCGCCTTCTTCCTGCAGGAAACGCAGCCTCCGGACACGCTGCGCAACGCCAGCCTGCACGCCAGGGTCGCGTCCTTCTTCACCTACAAGGCCAGGCAGCCCCCCGCACTGAACGCCAGCTATGGGCCTTACTGGGCAGAGAAGGTCGTGCCGCTGGAGCTCATGCTGCCCGCCAGCCCCTTCGGCCCCAGCGGCCGGTTTACTTTTGGCTGGAAGCTGAAGGCCTCCATCCTGCGGGAGAAGATCTACCCGAGCCGCCCCAAGGTGCAGGTCCTCTTCCACCTGGTGGGCCGGGACTGGGACGACGCGCGGCCCGCGGAGAGGCTGCCCTGCCTGCGCGTCTTCGCCTTCCGCGAGACCCGGGAGGTGCGGGGCAGCTGCCGGCTCACCGGGGACCTGGGGCTGTGCGTGGCCGAGCTGGAGGTCCCGGCCGCGTGGTTCAGCCCCCCGACAGTGGTGGCCGGGAGGAGGAAGGCGGCGGAGCAGCCCGAGGGCAGCCCGGTGGAGCTGTACTACTCGGTGCAGCCCGGGGACGCGCGCGGGGACTGCACCACCGCTGGAGACGCCAGGACGGGCAACGCCATCCGGCCTGGGAAGGACAGCGCCCAGGGGCCCGCATCGCGCCTGCAGAGCCTGGGCCTGGTGCGGCTGTACCGAGCCCAGGACGGCGTGCAGCTCAGCGAGCTGCGGCTGGACAGCAACGTGGTCATCTGGCTGCCGTCGTGGCCGGCCAAGCAGGGGGACGTGGTCACGGCCTATGTCACCATCGCCAGCAACTCCACTGTGGATCTTTTCGTGCTGAGGTAGGTGCCGGTCTGTCCTACCGTCCTCAGCAGCTGGGTGCAGCTGGGCGCTAGCCTGGGGACGGATGCTGACCAAAGGTGACAGACACTTATTTCAGGGATCTCTTGTCTACTGCGGAGCCCCAGCACACGCGTCCCAGGAGCGCAGTGCCCAGGTACAGGGCAGCTCCGCTCCTGCGGGCAGAGGGGACGGAGGGCAGGAGCTACGCGGGAGAGGGGGCTCGGTGCGCCAGCTGGGGCGCAGGCTCGCTGCCTGGTCGGGTCCTGCACGCACATCCGCAGTCCCAGGTTAGTGAGAACTGCGCAGGATCAGGGAGCCCAAGAGAAGCCGCTGGGAGGATGGCAGCTCCCTTGGATGGGTGTGGAAGCAGCCCCTGGCAATACCCAGAGTCGTGCTGCGGTGTGCTGGCTCAGCGCAGCCAGCGCTCACGGCCGGGATCCGGTGGTCGCGCGGTGCTGAGCAGGGGCTGCGCTCTCAGCAGAAACCTGGGCAGTGACGCGAGGCAGGGCGAGAAGCGAGCAAGGAGACAGACAGCCCCTCGAGGCCCCCGTGGGTGGTGGGGCGCGCCTCCCGTCGCCTCTGCGGCCGGCCCCCAAACAGCTTCCGGCAGCAGCTCCGCCTCTCTGCGAGCATCCCGGGTCAGGGGCCGCTGACTTCTAGGATAAGTAACGCCCCGAGAGTCACGTCAGGCTGATGCTGTCCACAAGAGGATGCGCATGCTGTAATAATGAAAAAGCACTTCTTGAGATGGGCTTTAAAATAAAGATTAAAAATAAAAATTATAAAAATAGGTTGCCTTTAAAGTTATGCGGAAGAAGGATGTAGGTTATCATTAGAGCTGTGTCTCGGATCTGTTCCAGCGTGAAGCGTGAGTCACATGCTGCCCGAGGGCCCCGGAACAGCGTCTGCAGAGCAGCGGCAAGCGGCACCGCGGCTCCCGCTTGCTTGCTTTTGGTGGCACGGCCAGTGGGGTGTTGAGGCTCGAAAACAGAGTGTCCAGAGATTCAGGGAGCCGCTTAGAGTACTTCCCAGTCTTCAGGGTCAAATAATTTTCTCTGACGCTTCTGTCTTGTTCTCATCTGTATGCCTTTTCTTTCAAAATCTTGTTGCTCTGTTTCAGTGCTAGGGAAGAAAATCTCTTCCCTCCCCCTCCCCCTCCCTCCCCTCCTTCCCCTCCCTCCCCTCCCTCCCCTCCTTCCCCTGCTTCTACCATTCCCTCCTTTCCCTTCCCTTTCCTTCCCTTTCTCTTCTTTTTTTTTTAAAAAATTTATTTATTTAGTGTGTGTGTGGCCAGCTCAGCCCACCAGGGGGCAGGGCTGGCTGGCATGTGGTGCTGGGGGATTGAACCGCGGTCCCTGTGATTTGCTAAGCTTGTTCTAAGTAGGTGCTTTAGACCACTGAGCCATCTCACCAGCCCCTCCTTTCTCTTCTAAGTGGTCTAATTTTGCAAAGTGTCATGTGCCAATGTTTTTGAATGTGATCCTAGGACTATTATAATACTCATTTCAGGGATATTGTGGAATCCTGCATCTGCTACAGAATTTAGCATTTCATAATTCAGGCGATCCCTGTCACTGTTCTCTGAAAACCTTCCTACACCACCAGCAAGAGATCTGCCACCTTGGTGCCAAGATATAGACCCCTCCAGCAGTGCACTGTGGGCTGTTGAAAGTGTCATTACCTTGTGCCTGGGAGGTTAGGACAGTCACAATTCAGGTGAAAGGATCCAAGTGTCTACGGCCACCCTGGATGGCGGAAGACACGATCTGAGAGGTCTAAGTGTACTCATTTTACTTTGCTGGCTTTAGCTGATGCAAAATAAACCCGTCCAATGCTGACTTTGGAACCTGAAGACAGCAGACAGGGAACCGGTCTCACTGAGAAGGTTGGCGACATTACCAAGTCCCCAGCAGCGCCCCCCTGGCCTGTGGCTAACTTTTGTCCTTGGTAAGTGCAGACTCTGCAGTCGCCGACCAAGGATGGCCCTGAGCAGAGCTACCCATGTGCCTGGCTCTAAGGTCCACAGCCTTGGTCTGCACGGGGCAGGCTCCGACCTGACCCACTGCAGGGAGGAGCTGTGCTCTGTGCTTTCCGTGCCGGCCTCCACCATGGCTGTGAGCAGGACCTCCGTGCTGGTCCTCTCTCCCACACAGCATCTGGGAGGCTAAACCTCCTTCTGGAACTCCCATTTGTATCTTCATCTTAAAAACATCATGAAGGCACCACTGCCGCAGAGCTAGGAGGGATTAGAGGGCCAACACTTCTTCGTAAGTTGCTCCTGACAGCGTCTGGCATACAGAAGTGTTGATGTTACCAGCAAGGTGTCTTTAAATATTCATCTAGCCATGAGGAAGCTTGGCCTGAAGCAACAGATAGGGGTTTGTCCCTGAAGCCGCACCCACTCCCATTTCACTACAGTTTTGAAAGAAGGATGACATCTTCCTTTAGTGACAGGGTTATAAGGAGATGTGGGACTTGGTCACACTTGGGTGTGGCTCCCCGCCATCAGAGCCAGGGCCTGATTCTGTCCCCCGTGACCTCTGCACCCATAACTCAGAGTCCACCTCGCCTCTTCCTGTTCAAGACACAACCTGGGTCACTGACTTTGCCTCTGATCTTAGACCTACAGCAACGTTTCCAAGGCTACCAAGCAAGGGCCCATAGGAGACCCCAAGCACAGGAGGACCCAGACACATAAGCAGTCAAAGTACTGGTGTCTCGGGCAGACTGGAGCTCAGCGACATGGAATTAGAGAGCAGAGGTTCGCACACCTGGACTAGAACTTCTCTCCGTTATCCTCAGGCAAGGACTGCACACTTTACAAGCGGGAGTTACAGACTGGAGAGCCATCCTGGGGCCTTGAGTGGACTGGAACTCACAAGTGAGTGATGGTGGCAGTGTGTCAAATGCAGTGTTGCTCCAAGTGGCACATCTTTCTGCTCTTCTTCCTTTTGTCCCCTCCACCGAAGCCCTGGATGTATCCCAGTGCTCTTTTGTATTCATTTTTTAAGAGTTTTAACTAATCACAGATGGATAAGAAGTTGCAGAAAATAATAAAGCCATTTCGCTTGCCCCTTCTCAGAGCTTCCTTCAATAGTAATGCCTCATGCAACATTTTTAGCAAAAGAAAGGCAGGCTGCACCCTCTAAGCCTGCTCCTTTTCTCACTGGAAAGGTGAAACTCTGCTTTGCTGTCACAGTTTATTTTGATACTTTCTTTTCCTATGAATATGAATAATGTGGTTTGTATCTGGATGTCCCCCCAGAGCCTAATTCCCTCAGAGGCAGGGCTTTGCGGAGGTGCCTAGATTGTGGGTGTCTACGGCTGACTTCCTGTAAGGAGGTAGGGTCTGGGAAGAAGGGTGTGGCCTGGGGAGAGGGGGCGTGGCCCGGAGGCTTTCTCTCCCTGCCCGGCTCTTCCCTCCCTTCTCTGCTTCCTGTTCACCGTGCTGTGAGCAGCACTCCTCCCCAGGCCCGTCTTGCATGCTGTTCGGGCCTGGCAGCCTGGCAGCCATGGACTAAAGCCCTGAGCTAAACCTCTCCTCCTTTACTTTATGAGTACTAGGTGCTTTGTCCCAGTGACAAAAACATGACTGGGACAGATGCCATATTTCTCTTCCTTCAGTAAATCCTTGTTCAACCCTCTTGCCGGGCAATGTTTTGCAGCAGGGAAGCGATGGCAAGCTCCCTGCCCACACGGACCTGGTGCTCTTAAGGGGGAGATGCATGCACACCGTGAAAACGAGGATGAAAATGCAATGTGGGTGGTCAGCCAGCTACACAAAAAGGAGTGAGGGAAGAGGAACAGAGAGCGCTGAAAGGCACACAGGCCTGCTGAAAGGACGCTTGTGAGTCAGCCGTGACCTGGGTGCAGAGGCCTGAGGCCGCGCTCCTGGAGGGCTGCTGGGAGGACAGGCAGAGGACAGCGTGGCCGAGCAGGGTAGAGGGGGAGAGGCAGGGCTACACTCATGCGAGCCGCAGTCTGTGTCAGGCAGGGCCTCACGGGCCACCAGAAGGACTTGTCCTTTGCTCTGTGCAACAGGAGGACAATGGGACATTTTAAACAGAGAGTGCCGCTGCTGCTTAGCTCGTGCATTGCAGTGGCCTGGTTGGCTCCTGCTAGTGACGGCAGAGATGCAAGGAGTCCCGAAGTCACAGCTGGAGCTGCCTGCGTCATGGGCACCTGCGGGCAAGGAGCCACAGGCCGTCAGGCCAGGGACCAGAAGGGGCAGGGCGGAGGAACCACATGCAAAGCCTGGAAGAAGCTCAGATTTGCCCTCTGCTGGTGGCATGTCTAATTCGGGTTAATTAGAACAAGTGTTGGTGCATAATGTCATGGCTTTAGGAAAAGGCCATTCAGTAATCAGATGACACAAGGGACCCATGGATGTGGCCTGAGGGATGGGACAGCAGCTGTGGCCCAGAAACTCACTTCTCCTTGGCAGCAAGTGCGGGCCTTCTCCACTGGGAACTTCCTGGGAGACTGTGGGATCCCAGACCGTGTCTGCTGATGGTACAACCCAGATTCCCCTGCGCCCTTTCCCATGGGGCCTCATGGACCAGGCTGGTGCTCAGGAACAGCAGGGACTTGGGGGAGTTCTGAGGAGGCCCATAGAGCCCATAGAGCTGTGGACACTTGGTGGAACTCCCCTGCAGAATCCATGTCACAATGCCCCTGTTTCAGAGGCAGAAAGGAGCCAAGCTGTTCACACCTTCCTGACTGCAATTGAAAGGCAATTGCTTGCTTTTACTACAAAACTAGCTCGTGTTCCTTGCAAGGCAGGGTGTGGAAGGGTGGGTGTCTTAGTTACTCTTCTCTCGTTGCTGGGACAAATACCTGACACTCAAAATGAAGGAAGGAAAGGTTTATTTAGTTCACAGTTACTGGAGGTTTCAGTCCATACTCAGCTGGGTCCAATGCAGAGCAGCACAGATCAGAAAGCAACCTTTCATGGTGAGGGCAAAGAGCAAAAGAGCAAGGGAGAAGTAGCAGCAGCTCA